ATAAACTAAAATGGAGACACGACAGACTTGACATGGATGATACTAAAAGACAAAATAGTAAGTAGACAGGAGGGGGACGATAAAGGGAACTAATAACATGGAAAACAATATGGGAATGAGAACAGCTCATAGACGCAGCCAAACCAAAGCATATAAATAGAACCTAGGAACATAAATCATTTCTCATAACTCAAAACAATCAATAATTAACAATCCCAAAACACTGTGTCAAAGAACCAGAATCATGACATCTAACATCTAAAAACATCTTATTGAAATGAAAATGTTTGGTGAAATCAAACTGCCCTTACAAAAGCCCCGCTGACACAAACTAATAATGATATTGGTTATAATTTACATACATATATATATTGAAGATGCAAACAAAGCAAAAACAATTACGATTTAACTGCAGTTTTTATGTTAGATGTCAGATATTTTTCATCTTTTTTAAATAACTGATTGCAAACCTTTTTACGACATATAGTCTGTTACTACTAACCCAGCCTGTTTAACTAAACCAGACAGTATTTCAGTGAAGGAGCCAGAATCAGATCCATGCTGTATTGTAGTCACTGCTGTACAATAAGCTTAGCATGAATCTAAGTGCAGAGTGTCAGCCTTTTTAACACACAGCATGAACACAATTACTTCAGTGTCAAACAGGCACAAATTAACAAAAGGCTGAACTGTAAGCGAGCAAAGTAGGGTTAAAAAAATCAGCAGGATAAGAGGGATGACAATAAAAAGCTGCATGTGAAATCCGTCTCTAACAGTCTTTTGAGCGTTTTTCCTCTGCATTGTTTCTTTAAAGTAATTGCAACGTAGTGCGCAAAACACCGGCAGTGCAACAGGAGATTTGCTCCTTTTTCAAACAACACTGTTCTTCTAATTAATCTTATTGTAGCTTCTGTGAATTCAAGCTGAGCACAAAGTTCATCTAAACTAAAAGGCTTCTCAGAACTCGACAGGCAGTAACTGAAAAGATATATGTTCTCTTTATTATTCACGTAACCTTTAAATATTATTCACTTAGCCTGAAATACATGTTTTAGTGTTTCCAAAGAACTTTGAAGGATTAATCAGTTGTTTTTTGTCCAAACAAAAATACAACAGATGGCATTGAACAGGCAATACTTTGCTTCTTTATCCTATACCGTGCTCTACTTGAACACTTCACCTTCTCTTGAATTAACTGAATCTTTATTGGGCTGACATCTTTTTTTTATAAATATCTTGGGTAACAAAGCCAACAGAGAGATACAGATAAAATTCATGTATGAGGAATAAATAAAAGGAAGCAAGCCAACAATAAAATACTCAACATATTGAGGCCATGAAAGCACTCAAAGTATTCTGAGGTTAAAAACTTTTTTCTTTCTGTATGTCTGTGAAGGTTCTCAGTCATCCAGACAGCATTAAATGCTTTTTAAAAAATAAAAAACTATAATATGTAACATAAAGGATTAGTTTTACATTTCAGGTAATCAGTTATTCATGCAGTA